CTGTGTGTGTCTGTGTGTGTGTCTGTGTGTGTGTGTGTGTGCGTGTGTGTCTGTGTGTCTGTGTGTGTGTCTGTGTGTGTGTGTCTGTGTGTGTGTGATTTATGGGTTAAGTCATAAATTTATATTATTATAATTAGGTTTTGAAATTGATCACATTTTGGAATACAACATGCATTCGTGTTATTCCCAAATACATGTATGTATGAGAATGAATCTGGTTTTGGAACATAGATTCATTACATTTCATGGTATTTCAGATGATGTTTTGGAATGGCCCACGTTATGAAATGTAACATCTCCCACCGTGTGAGTCCACCCCGTTGGTCAGGCTGCCGGGTGACTCCGCGGGTGACTCCGCCCTCAGCACGCCCTCCAGCCGGCTCTGATTGGTCCGCACCAGCGCGTCACAAAACGTCTGGAAGGCGCCCGGCCCCGCCTCCAACAGGGCCTGGAGGAACGCCTCATTCTGACGCTGTCGGGACGCGGCGCTCTGTTGGTAGGGAACAACACCATGAGTTCTCGCCTTAGCTTGAGGAGGCTATACATAGAAGAAGAACTTTATTGCGCAACAGATGTAGCGGGTACAACGTATAGCAAAATGATACATACATAGTTTGTGGTGTTAACATACACATATGGTGGTGTTGAGAATATCTAACAGTTCTACTAATTGTAGTAGGAATCTGGTCTGCTTCATTAACAATGTATAACAAAAGAGAGACACTAATTATACTAATCTAACTCTATTAATACAATGTAGTAATAAATTGTGTCAGGAATTAATTACGTTTATTCGTTTTGTCATGGAATTGTGTTCAAATTGACCTACATAAGTGGAAATGACAGGATTTTCATTGATCGGCATAATCATAATCATTTGAATCCCGGCGACCAGGTTTTGGTGGGTTGTTTTTTAAGAAGCTTCATGTTACCATGTTTATAGTAACAGACAAAGACTTTTATCCAACATGGCGTATGTGACGTCATGTGTACCCTGTACATGGATCAGAAAATCTACTTCTGTAAGGAATCTTAATGAGCCAGAGGGGATACAACCTTATTCACGTCTGGGACTGTAATCTTCTCGCTACAGTGCCACCTAGCAGTCGGATGTAGTTATTGCAGTTATCAAATGTATAACGGAAAAGTTCGACTAACAAACTGTTGTGTGGACATAACAGCATCTACATCCATACAGCTGAAATAAAATCTTGCGTTACCATTAGTCTTTTAATTTGACAGGTCATGTAATACAATGAAGTGAAAATTTCCTAATATATTTTGATATATCATTGTGGAATCAGAATATTACACAAATAAACGTCGCTTCTATGTATACGACTACAGGCCTAGCAGTGTCTCTTCTGTATTATGTAGACAATGATGCAAATTGGCCTAAATTCATAGATTTAATTAGCTTGCTCTCCATGGCAAGCGAACGCCCTTTCAAAATACGACTTCAAAACTGTTATTATATCTACAAGTCATTGTCTTTTTCTGCATATTTAGAATACAGTGTATTTTTTTTAGTTCCAAAACGCATATTGAAAACCTTTGTTATTTTGTAACTCGCCACAAGCGTGAAAAATGATGCCAAGAACTACTAGTACCAAACACACCTGTGTCACTTCTAGCTGACCACCTACTGAGTAACATGCCGCTATTACCTGTGTACTTTCACTGGACATTCAGTCGGCACGGTCACACCTGCCTGGACAACAATACTCCCTCCCGGCTATTGTACTCCGATACTGCCGCCATTGTGCTGCAACCTCTCTACGGCGTCTTGGCTTACTTAATAACTCTGGCGATGGCTACTTTGTCAACCGTTTGGTTAAAGTCGCTAAATGCAATTTCTGATATTGACATTTATTGCAATTCCTAAACACACTGTTTTCGTCATTGTATACTTATAAAGGGTTTGGACTAATCCAAGAACTAGCTACGTGCATGAAGAGTCACTTTATTTTTGGTACCAGCAATAAATAGCTAGAACCAGCCTTCTTTAGTATTCTGCGTACTTGTTTGTTCTGTTTGCTATCTAACATACGGAACAAATGCACCAAATAACCTCTTATTTTGTTGCCATGCCTTGTGTGCTACCCTTCCTTCGCTACGCTCGATTATAAAAAAAAACTAGACCGTCCTTCTATGTATACCCATCGTACTTGTTTGATATAAGTACGAGGTTGTTCTGTTTGCTATAAAAATACGGGAACATTCAGATAAACCGAAGGACGTCAAATTCTTACCTCGTGTGGGTAGCTTATTGCTACCTTTCCTTGGCTGGGCTCCATTATAAAATCACTAGACTGCACCGTTTTACGTATGTGTATAGAAAACACGTACTTGATTCCCATACATACGCATACGGGGTAGTTCTGTTCGATATAGAAAATACGGGTAAAAATGTACTAAGGGCATACAATCTTGATGTCTTACCTTTTGTGATAAGAGTAGCTTGATGCTACCTTACCTTGGCTGGGATTGATTATCAAAAACAGTACACTGAACTAACGCACGCGCCTATTCACGGTTCGATCGCGAGACTCCGTTTGATGACTCAAGAAGAAGTGAAGTGTTTCTAATCTTGTAACCCGCTCGACTTGGCGGGGAGGTAAGAAAACGTACCAAGATCAATCATTGGGCGGACGGCTGCAATTGGCAAAATAAAGGGGTTCGCTTCAAAATCCCAATGTTTTTCGCAAAATGTTTTTCATACGTTTTGTCCTTTCAGCTTTCTTTCCGTTTATCGGGAATAAATATTCGATGGGATTCAAACAAGAACCTGCAATGTTTGGTGACAGCGGTAGATAGTTGCAAGTTTTTTTTTTTTTTTTCAGAAGGTAAATTTGACATTCATGAATATAAAACTAGACTTTATGTACGAGCCTTTCAAGTAACAACAGCATTTCTTGGTGTACCAATTAAAAATTATACAGTACAGCAATATTTTAGTCCGAAATGTACGTAAAAAGGCATATTTTGTCTTATAAGCAAGCTAATTATTGGAATAATTCTACCTCTAGAAACGTGAGTTTGAGTGAAAAAACAAGCAAGCACTTCATCACCCTTACCTGGTACTTAACGGAGCGGAACGCGGAGTGATACGAACAAAAGAGTTTTGTGTGGCGGAGGGATCTCTAACATAATGTATTTAGCTGGCCACCCCCTCGGCTCGGATGTTATTGTGTTGTTAACGTAAATATCTCCGCCAGCTACATTTGACGTGCTGTCACCCTTGACGGCGTGTCGGCATACAGTTCACCCATGATACGTGTATTCATATTACAGCAAACAGAATTGTTACGCACAGTCTTAATATACTAGTAAGGCCACAGCAAGTAAATTTTATGGATGACATCCTCCACAGACTCCAAATCTAATGCGAGCAGGCGAACCCAAAGGCGGGCTCAACAAACAAGGTTCCTACATTTTAAATTTTTGACTCAATTATTGTACAATGGCTTTGATTCAGTGGGAACATCACATATACACAGACAGCATCACATATCACTGCATCAAAGTAAGAAACAAAACATTAAATCAGAGCCTTTTCTTGTCTCCTCTCTTCATAGTTATCTGCCGTCCACCTTTCGGTATGGCAACAGACATCTTTGCCCATTTTCGGCATGGTGACCACTGTCAAAAGGCAACAAAATTTCTTGTTTTTTATTCCAAAATCAGGCAAGAATTAATGCGCGCGCTGATGTCATCCATAAAAATTACTTGCTTCGGCCTAACTAACAATTTAACAAATTTGGCGTACAACCATGATAGCTTTACTTTTTTTACCGCAAACATGATTTTTAGTGTCGTTAAATATTCATTATCTAGCCTCTACCAGGCTTCAGGAAGCGGCTGGAAAGAATAGAAATTGGTCACATAGACAGAAAACGTACAATATGCCACTCCCGAATTTGAAGTCTATCTAATAAATACCGAAAAGCTAAATGAACGGGTGGTAAACTGTACTCTTTTGAGAAACAACTCCCCTGGCATATCATCTGTCTATTCGGCGATTTTATTTTTCCAGCCGCTACCTGAAGCCTGGTAGAGGCTACACAATTATCAATTATGGATTAATTTATGAGAGTAATTTTTTGCGGTAAAATAACTGGAGAAATCATAGTTGTGGGCCAGATTGCCTCCTTTGTTTACGCTAGAACGCCACGTCTCTAGTACCGTGCGGATACATAGAGATAACAATAATGATGATGATGATGATAATAATAATAATATTAACAATAATAATATTAATAATAATAATATTGATAATAACTGAAACATTGTAGTAATATACGTGTAATGCTTATGTATCGAATTTATCTGCTTTGCTTACCCTTGGACGTTTAGTCTGTTTAGACCCAGAATAATAGATTAAATATAAACTTTGACGCTCGGCATTTTGGTTCGTGTCGAGAGTTTTGCAAACTGAGAACTACTTGTGTGGCCTCCACGTCTCTTCACGCTGGTACTTCAAAGTCCTTCTACCCTCTTCACAGACCGTTACGTTTATTTTAGTCCGTAAATATTATCGAGTATAACAAGTATCATGTGGCCATGTTTTCGTTTGTGTGATTTGGTTCAAGGTCATCTGCTTTACGAACCATATTGCATTCATGGATTTAAATCATATTTTTAGGTGCCGTGATTGGCCGATTTTTCGCACTGATCGGCCAATCAGATCATTGGTTACAGACTGAGTAAGATTACAGGACCTCTCCCATGCTTGGCCATTAAGAAAATGATTAGTAAATGTCATTTCAGCTTTTGAAATAGACTGGTCGAAAATTTCGTCAATTAGTTTCATTGGTGTTGTGTGCAAAGTATTTTATTAATACTTGGTAACAATAACACTATGCACGCATTGAATCACTTGAATTAGCATACCCAAGGTGATCAAGTCAGAGACCTTATATAGCATATAAATATATATATCATCCTTGTAACGTTCTTTTTTATCACAAATGTTGCGCTTGTTAGGTTATTAACACAATCCGTCTTCTCTGATTTTTTCTAGGTTTTCGGATGTTTTTCGGTTTTTGGATGTTTGGTCAACGTTACATATCGTCTACAACATTTGGCTGTTGCAGACGACATCTTTTCCTACATAACATTTGGAAGCTACAGACGGGATGTTAAGCTTATATACGCGAATACGACATTATTTAAGGCGTTCTACCGACGAGCTATGCACAGTACATTAAGGGGTTCGCGCAGGTGAAGTACGTTCTGTCGACGCGCTATTTTAAATAGTACCAAATGTACCAAGTACCAACAAAGATGAATTTGTATGCAAATGATCCGTATGCAAATGATCTTACCTCTATGTTCCTGAGAGCCCGTTTGGTGAGCAGCTCGTGTCCCTTCAGCTCCTGCAGCACCTTGGTCAGCTCCAGCTCAGCCACCAGCAGATCACGGTGCTTCTGCACTACCTCAGCAAGTCGCTGGGCGTCCTTCATGTCCGCTGGAATGGAACACAAGACACTTGTGTGTTACTACAATGTTACTAAAGCTACAATTTGACTTCTGTGTATGTTACTATAATGTACAGGGCCCCACTGAAAATCAGTACCATCACTGAGTGGGTTACCCTGTTTAAATAGGAATATAAATAAATAAAATAAGTAAAATGTTACTACAGCTACAATTTGACTTCTTTGTATGGTTCTACAATGTGAAAATTTCCTAATGAAATGGATATAAACTAACCTTAGAAAACGACAATTGAATGAGTAAACGATAAAATCAACATGCAATTTATAAACTATCCGCAAGGCGGGGCTTCTGCAAAGCAGTACCACTTGTTACAATGTACTATTTATTTGTAAGTATTATTTCAAGACCTCTTAATAATCTGAAATTGCCATATACCCATCTTCAAGAAAATATTTTAGAACATATTGTTCATGTTAATTTTTAACAATAGAATGATAGATAGTGGGTCAGTCCGTCAGAAAATATTACGATTTTCCACCCCCAACATATCTGCTTGGAGATTGCATATGTACGATAATCCATACAAAGAGATTATTTCTATCTAATTCTAAAAAAAAGCAACTTGGCGAGTATCAACATGTGTTTTCTCTCTCTCTCTCTCTCTGTCTCTCTCTCTCTCTCTCTCTCTCTCTCTCTCTCTCTCTCTAGTAGAATTGCACCCCATCATCGTGTCTTCTGCCAAAATCTATATAACTTCGAATCTAACGTGTAGATTGTATTAGATATACCCGTGCTGTTATACAATGACCTGAGACTGTACATATGTCTTCTTCCAACATTGTATAGCCTTTAGTTCACGAGTACATTGGGCTGGATTAATCAAACTAGCAGCTAGTGTTAAAAAAGCGTCGACTTACATTTTACAATTGTTATGGAATAAACTTTGACTTGACTAGACCTGACTTCTTGTGCAACGTTTCTCGAACATTCCATGTAAACCAGTAAGTGGGGCTCTAACATACAGTATACCTAGTAGTTGGGCGTCACTACGGAAATAATGCTCTTCGTAAGAATGGATAAAAATGGACCCAAAAGCTCAGTAAAAGATAACTCATTCTTCAAGTTAGCTAGTTACACTTTTTACACAGCTGTAGCACTGATTATTAAAGGCATCCAATGTAATATCTTTATGACAGCATAGAACATATTCTAGATAAGAAAATTTCTCTCATATTGACATTTACAGCTATTTCTTGACATATTTTCGTCACCATGTCATAATTTAAGTGTTTGAAATATCCCCAAAAGAAGTCACGTGCTGATTTCTTGGTATCACCAATAAAATTATAAATAGCTAGAACCATCCTATGATACGAAACAAGTAACAATTTTCTGTCAGCGGCGTCGCATTTTTGCCTCACAGACATAACTGTCCCATGGAAAAAGGTTAGTTAAATTCCCTAGGCCTATATTAGAGAATGACAATAAATTGACTTTGAAAATCTAGTTTTACTACCCTCGAATTGTTTAAGGCGCCTCTAAGGTAGCCTCGTTACCAGACCTATCAAAGCTCCCGAGTCTTACATCCTCTCCGCAAATAGAGGAGGGGATGTAGGACTCGGGAGCTATAATAGGTGTGGTAACCAGGCTACCTCTAAGGTGCTAAAAGTCAACCTAGAAGGGATTGTTTGTACAGTACCGTAACGTTTCAAGGTCACTCCATGATAGAACTACGCTTGTAGTGTACTGCTTCAGCTAACAACCTCAATTTCCACAATTCTATTTTACCAAATAAACACAAAAAAACTCACTTACATCAAATAGAAAGGGACAATAGATTGCAACTGGTGCATAAAGTGTTCTTAAAAGACTACGGGTTTGCGATATAACGCTATATCGTTTTCAGTGGTGAATAGTATCACATGTACAATGTTCTAACCCCCCCCCCATGTGCAGTTTGCGTGTAGTATTCAGTGTCTGTTATAAGCATGAGACTAGTTTAGATGTTGTTTAGTAAACCAACTGCGTCCATACCTACATCATGTGCTGTATGACACGTAACAGTGTACGAAAAGAGTGTGCATTTGTAAATATAACGCTGTCTAGTTTCATCGATGAATAAGATGATATGTACCATTTTCACACCCCTTCCACCCCCATGTACAATTTGCGTGTAGTATGCAGTGTCTGTTATAAGCATGATAATAGTTTAGATGTTGTTTAGTAAACCAACTGCGTCCATACCTACAGCATGTGCTGTATGACACATAACAGTGTACGAAAAGAGTGTGCATTTGTAAATATAACGTTGTCTAGTTTCATAGGATGATAAAACCATTTTCTACACCCCTTCCACCCCCATGTGCAGTCTATGTAGTATTCAGTATATCTTGTACGCAATAGCGGCATGCGAGTAGTTATTATGTTGTTTTGTAAACGAGGAGCGTTCATCATGCAACTTGTTTTCTATGACAAGTAACAGCGTACGAAAAGAGTAAGAATTGGTGAATATGACGCTATCTCGTTTTAATTCATAAATAGAATCATATATACCATTTTTACACCCTACATGCCATGCAGTCTACGTGTGGTATCTTTTCAACGCATGAGGAGAGTAGCTAAGATGTTGTTTAGTAAACCAGGTGCGTCCATACCTACATCATGTTATCTGTGACACGTAACAGTGTATCCCTTGGTCCATATCTCTGTGTAGTGTGTACATCTTTTCCATCCTTTTCAGTAGTAGGCGGAAACGTCGTACGGAAAAACCCGAAGAACCTGAAATGTCAGAAGAAAGCTAGAACTCACCTTGGCTTACTGTTCCTTCTACGAAGCTGTCCTCGTCTTCCTACGACCTTCTGAAATCGCCATGTTCGTCCCGACTGTCTCCGACACACGCAGTGTTTATCTCACGGCCTCCATCTTTGATTTGGCTGCCAACAAAAGACAGAGTGGCCGGCAATTTTCTACCTGCAAATTTGACACCCTCCCCCTTTGTTCTTCAGATCCGAGCGAGTAACATATACACTAGCTGAGTGTGTTTGGGTAGAGGAGATACAGTTTCGGCTGTTATTCTTAGCTCGTCTGAAAACACAGATGTGCAACACTGTCCTTTCTTTCTCAAACAGCTCCGTAGTTATTTGTAACACCTAGTACAGATTTTGACGCCTAGAAATATGCAAAATCTTCATCAATAACAATCAAAATACGCTACAGAATCAGGTCGGACTTCAGAAGATACAGTTACTTAGTAATCAGGGGAGCTATGGAGTTAAAAGGGCCTCGTTAGCCAAGACATAATTGGTAATAACTGCGACATTTAAAGTGATAACAGGGAAACAAAAGTAGAAAGAAGCCGCCCGACAACGTTGATTATTGTCTTTTTTCTAGGTTTATCATCTGGCGCCAAAAAGGCGTTTTAAACTGGCCTTGGAAGTGTAAGATATTAGCACGTGTTCCATACGTTACGATGTACACGGGGTGTAGAGGCTTTATAAGCTGCACGCTACCGTTAACTGTGTATGTCAAAATCCACCATAAAAATTTAATGGGTAGCCGTCATTTAATATGCCGAAAACTAGACGAAATATACATGTTAAGGCTAAATATATGAGAAATGTTCTCGAATAGCCCTCTTCGTATAGAAAGCTTTCACAACTCAACAGATCTAATAATTTTTATATCGTTTTATTTTTTTCTACTACTCGAAATAATCCCTCTGTAAATCGCTTGCCAATTATCACTTTTGCAAAGAAAAGTTCCTTATTTTCTAAATGCTATAAAAATGTATGGCAAGGCCACATACTTTCCAACATTTTTATTCAAAAGTAAAATTCATAAACTAGACTTATACAATACATGGATCTTCCCACGTCATGCTACTGATTACACTGAATACAGTGTTGCCTGTTTACACAGTGGTGATAAAAACGTGCAACACGTAGACATACCACCGTACCGGACAACATGGCGGTGTAACATTACAGACAAAACAAAGACAACCCGCCTCAACTTTCCACAAACAACAACGTCGCCGAGGTGACTATTGTGTGACGCGGTAAGGGGAGCGCGTGGATGGGTATTTGTGGGTATGGAGCGTGCGAAATCGGCGGCTAGGTTTACAGCCGCCCCGTGTTCCGGTGTCATGCATTTCTGAACGCTTTTTAACCCCCATTGGACATGAATCGTTCTCAAAGTCGGTCTGATTTCTTAGAGGTCATTCCATTTAAGAGGTTCAGGATGGTAACGTTATTTTTGTAGAAAAAAGGTGTCTGCAATTTTAGTAGCAGAAAATATGTATTTTATTATATTCTTAGTTGGCCATGCAGGAAGGGATTCATCAGAAAAAAAATCACATTGCCATAGCCAAGTACTACTAGTGTCTGTCGTAGCTTTTTCTACTTACATATAATTATATTATATAATATACATACTGATTTATTGATATAATTGGCATGAAATGTTTGCATTGGTTTCTGGTATAACCAATATCATAGCCCTTTTCACAGACGTTAAACTGCTTCAGAATCTACTTTTTGGGAGGCGCTCTGATAGGTGAGACAGAGAAAGAGAGAAAGAGGTGGGCATAAAAGTTCAATAAAGGATATTTTAATAGCTATATCATATCTGTTTTTCTGAGTCAAGAATAATATCCGGGTTTTAAAAAAACACACTGTCTGGACCGTCCAAATTATATCAATTAGAAATAACCAATCAAAGCCTTTGCAGTTGATATGTCCACAGGAGCGTCCTGATGTGACCAATCAGAGCGTTTCCCGCCGATGTGTCCTCCGGAGCGTCCTGATGTGACCAATCAGAGCGTTTCCCACCGATGTGTCCTCCGGAGCGTCCTGATGTGACCAATCAGAGCGTTTCCCGCCGATGTGTCCTCCGGAGCGTCCTGATGTGACCAATCAGAGCGTTTCCCGCCGATGTGTCCTCCGGAGTGTCTTGTTGTCCGGGCAAGACTTCCGACGGTTCAGCACGGGTGGTGACGTCATTTCGTCGTCCTCAGAAATACTATTGAGTGACTGACGGGGACTTAGACCAGTCTGACCTATGTGATAAAATACGCCCAACAGTTACTCAAGCATCTATGGTAAACAGAATTCTTATAGGTATTTCATGCAATTTCAGGGCGTTGAAACTGGATTTTCAAAGTTAATAAGTTGATCAACCCTGTACCATGTACCATGGCATTTTGATAGTCTTCACCAGACTTTTTGCAGGCTGAATAAATACTAAAATAGTAAAAATCGGCCTTAAAATGGGTTATAATTGGTCAGAGAAGGTAGCAAATAAGACCCTGTCTGGTCGGCCACCTTCTCTGGCCAATCATACCCCCCTTTTAGGCCAATTTCTACCATCTATTCACCCTACAAAATAAGTCTCAGACTGGTGAGACTATTTGATACCCGTGAGGCATACATACGATGATTCTTACATGCGAATATTGTTGCCTGTTTTGTATCATAGGCTAGTTCAAGCTATTCATTAGTGGTACCAAAAACAAAGTCACTTCTTACATACCTTGTAGGCTGTTTCAAACGCTTTAGGTATGAAATAATGACATTAAAAATTGACTCAGATATTACCTAAAAACAAATTTAAACTCCCATTGTTTGGAAAAGTACTGACCGGGAGTAAATTTTGCATTTTGTCCGGCAGTCGCGGTCCCTGGAGTGGCACCTGCACGTCTTGTTGGCTCCCTCTGGCGGCTCTCCAGGTACTGCAGCTTCTTTTCCTGTCGGTCGACTCTTTCTTCCAGAGAGCGTACCTTACAGAATAGTCAACATTGTCACAGTTAAGTCAAGTCAGACTGCTTTTTTTAATTCTAAAACGCCTTTCATACGGCAACTTTTGATAATATTCTACGACAAAGTAGACGAAAACAAGCAATGTCTTACCTTGTTGTCTGCTGCGGTCTTTTCGTGTTCGGTTAGCTGCAGTTTCCTCTCTAGCCGCGAGAGGGCTCTTCCCTTACCGTTCAGGTCAGTCTCCTTTCTTTTAATCTCAGCCTCGGCCCTGAACAGATCATCCCGGGTTCGCTGCAGGTCCAGTTCACACTGTGATAAAAAAGAAATCAGTGGTCTTTATTCGTAGAACACATGCTCAGCAAGAGAAATGTGTCTGTGAATGTGCCTGTCTTTTTCTCTTTCCTTCTCTCTCCCTCTCTCTCTGTGAGTGCCTGTGCCACAATGTGTAATGTGTATTTATGTGTGCGTATGTATGTATGTATAAGTATGTATATGTATGTGCATTTATGTCTAAGTGTATGTTTATGTGATTGTGTGCATATGTTTTCGGGTACGTGTCTGTGCGTGACCGTGCGTGTGTGTTGTGTACATGTGCACGAATCTGTCTGTCTGTCTGTGTGTGTGTGTATGTCTCGGTATGTGTGAACATGTATGCGAGTGCCATGTTCGTGTGTGTGTGTATGTGCAACTTTGCGTGTGAATGTGCATATATGGCTGTGTGTGTTTGTTTGTGTGTATTTGTGTGTGTCTACGTGTAAGTGATGGTATGTATGTGCGCATGTATCTCACCTGCACTTTTTCCCGCATGAGTTTACTGTCGGAATTTTTCTCCAGCTGTTCCTCCAGGTGCTGCACCTGCTGCTGATACCTCTCCACCTTCCCCTGGAGGTCATTGACCTCTTTCTGTAACCCCTTCACGATCTTTTCATGATGAGCCTTTACTTTGACCAAGTCACGTGACTGTCCCTCCGACTTCTCTCTCCAAAACTTCGTATCATCTTTCGACCTCTTCAAGTTTTCCTCGAGTTCTGATATTTTGCGCCTCGCCTCAAAACTCTTCGACACAGAAACATCTTTTCCTTTCGAACGGACACTTTCAAATTTCTCTATCTCTTCCTTCATCCGATGGCTTTCCGTAATGTATCTGTCTCTTTCCTCTTTAACTCTAGCGAGTTCAGTGTATATTTCTATCTGTGAGTCGTGGAGTTGGTTGTATTTTGAGATGTAGCTGTTTCTCTCTTCAACCATTTTGTCGCTGTGGCTTGTCGCCTTTTGAAGTTTTTCTTTCAAAGATGCGATTTCTCTGTCCAAGTGCCAGTCTCTGTCGCGTAGAGTCTTTATTTGTGCTTCTCTCTCCGGACATCGGGAGCAGGGCGTGTCTTCGTTACCTTGGCAACGCGGGCTGACAGATGATTGGATGCTGGGACTGCAAAACTCCTTTGGCAACCGGATGTGGAGGTTGTTTCCTTCCGGTGTCCAGCGGACCCATGGGTCAGTGTTGGGGTCCGGCTCCGGGCCTGCTATCGCCTAGGGCGTCAGAAAAAAAAATCGGAAATTTCAGATTTTCAGTTTAGTGATGTGAGTTTCTGTGAAATTCTATTGAATTATACCCTATAACGGATTATTATGTGACTCATTCGATGATACGACGTACATGTAATTTACTACGCTATTATAGCATGGCTTATGTTTCATAACATTATTACATATGGTGACCTCATACCAAATCCTACATACTTCCCAGGGTATACATGGTTAAAACCCTATTAATCAACTGAAACCCAGGTTCTGCCCTTTCACTTTGAATACCTGCTGCTGAGAACAGGATATATACATACTCCCAGTAAATCAGAGCCACCCAAAACAATACTTCCGTCCCGGAAGTAATTGTCTGATATTGCTGTCTTTGTTTGACAAATGTCTGCTATCATGGTGTAAGAGGAAATCAGCCGCAAACTGGAAGAGTTTAGACAAACTACCACTATCACTGTACGTGACTTGTACGTATTGATATTGGGCCACACCGATTTAATTTTATGGATGACATCCACGTTGACATTAATATTCGCCTGTTCTAAAAAAAAAATGAAAAAGAAAAAAAAGATCACGTCCTCCGAGGCTCTGGCCTGGCTCTAGGCCTTGGTAGCGACGGTAGTTAGCGACAATACGGAGACGGTTGTAACTCTGGAGGATGGCACTCAGGCTACCGAAGCTCCACTACACAAGAAATGAGTACATACGTACAGTGCCGATTCATAAATTCCGCAAAAAGCCAGCATGTGCCGGCTTGTCGTATACGTCGCTATGTACTGCCGCATATTCACAACACCAGCTTTGTGTTCCTGTGGTAGCATTTTTGTTTTTGGCCGGAATTTTTTTTTCGCCCGCGAGTACTAGTTTGGGGGTCTTCAGAGGATGTCATCCATAAAATTAAGTCGGTGTGGCCTAAATGAAATAAAAAGTATTGGCTGATATCCTACCGGTTTTTCTGTTTGCCTCAGGTCCAACTCGGTATCAAAAGTTGTCAAAGTTTGTTCTGTTTCCGTCGAATATTCGACAGGTGGCTGGCTGGGATCGTCTGTGCAGCGAGTGGTGTAATGTGAGTCATGTGATATTAAAAACAAATCATATCATATACAAAGTATTGGAAAACAAAGTGTATAAGCCTGACGTGGTGACGATGATGATATGATATAGTTACACTCACGTTTCAGATAGTTTGAAGAGAAAATTCATAAGACAAAAGCCGTTTGAAATAAAAGAAGGCAACCTCATTGTCATCACTATATACACGTTTGCAACCATCTAGTATGCAAATGCATTACATATAATACTTCTCTTATTGATATATTGCTGTATGCATAGGGGTTTAGTTTTCAGCGTACTACTTTATGTTTACGACTATCTGTATGACTATTGTATTTATGTTAAGTGGGGTTGTAAAATAAGTTGTATAACTTGAGTTAGGTCCCACTTCGTCCTTGTATTTGTATTGCTTTATTCAATAAAAAAATGCATTACATACTACAATACGATGTAGCTAATACGCGTACGGTAGATCATTAGGAAAAAAAGCAACGGCGCGGTCACATTCGTCGAAGGTTGTTATACGATTTTCATGTGGGTGGATTTTCAAGCAGGGTGTGACAGAAGAAACGGCTTACAATTGGAAAAAAAGACAGCCTTTAGCGTGAAACGGCAGCTGAATTTTGCAGGGTACTTGCACAGATGTGCCAAGAGTGCTCTCCGTTTGACCGTTTGCGATCTTACTACGACCGATCGACGTATGTACCTGTAACCGTACCCTAAGATTTGAACCTTCCGTACCTGTAATGTTCTCAGTCCCATACCCAGCCCGTTCTACACTAGCGGGATGACCCAGGTATATGTTAGACCCCGGCCCGGCGTGGATGACTGTGTTGTGCGCGCCTGACACTTCAGACAGGCTGCTGGTCTGCGTGGCTTCACCTTGACGTGGAGCTTAAACAAGAAAGACATACGCAACTTTTTTTCTTATTATTCATATCTACTGTTTAGCCTGTATGTATACCAGCGTTATTAGATTTAATTAGAGAGAGTAGGTTTAACAAGTATATTGTACACGAAGAACTTCATGTTAGCATATTGTTTTATACCACATTTTTCTTGCCAATGTCTGTTTGCAATTAGCTCTCGGGCATGAACTTGCAATAAACTATCTATTATTTTATAATCTAACTATACATGTAACTATCTATTAGTATTGTCAGGGTGGCGATAATCTATGCTAGGTTTGTATGTTGAGTTTCAAAGAGAGAAGTTGGTTTTCACTTGATTGATAGGGCTTTGTAGTGTTATGCCCTGGGTTCAAGGACGTGGTTACAAGAGACGTATAAAACACAAACCATGGTGTAATGACGGAGTAAGTTTTATCATACAATCATATGAAATGATTCCCGAAAGTTTCAATTCTCTGAATTCCTGTTCTGGACATTTTTCTTTGCCAATCTATATCTTTCAACTGCTGTACAGGTATGAATTTGAAATTACTTTTGTTAGAAGGAGTAAAGATTGATGATATATGATAGAAGCATGTAGATTGCATTGTCTGCAATGCTGTGTGCCTTAAAATGTACATGACGTTGTCATTGATTAACACTCACTCTGTAACTGTGAGGTCGCGGGTTCTAGTCCCAGCCCAGTCCCTCCATGTTGACTCGGGATCTGCATTCTTCCGTCAACAGATCTGCTCTCAGATTCGTGACAGGGCACTAATTTAAGTAAGAGAATAAAAAAGGATTAAGTAACAGATATCTAATTCCTTTTTTTAGTGAACTTGTAATTTGAAAGTGATTTTTTTACACAAGCAAGCCCCCCCCCAGTCCAACAACATTGTGTGCACAAAGAAACAAATTAAATAATATAATTGGACGCTTCTTCAGAGATATTAATTATATGGTTAAATTCCTTGTTATTGGTTCGGAAAGTACGGTTAACGGAAGTACTGTTTTGGGTGGCGTCCAGAGAAATGGAAGTTTGTATGTTTTGAGTCCGGTGCACGAAGGGGAGGGGGCATCATCATATGATCCTCTCGATATCAATCACGAAAATAATTCCTGGGTGTCTGTAATCTCCGATTTCTTATGGATAACGTATTGTCCAGCACTGTTTGCTTAATTCTTTGTCTGTTAAGTCTATGTCGTGTGTGTGGCCCCCAGCGTGTATGATAAAAACGTACCCTGTAACTGTGAGGTTGTGGGATCGAGTCCCAGTGTCTCTTCATCTTGACTGGGAATCCGCACCGCTCCAGAGTCTTGGAAAAGGAAGCAGACATGATCAGCAGTTGATACATAATTATCAACTGGTATTCAGTAAATTGTAATGAAAACATTAATGGACAATTTTGCCATGTTTGTTTCTCTCCCGATACCGCAACAAAAAGAGCAGTATTGTAACATAAAGTCTCTGTCGCGTTTGGGACCGCACGCTTTTTGTACTTATAGCAACGCCACTTTGCGGGAAGAAGTAGCAGTTCACGTTAGCCGAGACTGGGATTGTTACAAAATAATATTACAAACGTAAAGACTTACCTTGCGGCTGATTGTTGCCGACACCGTCTGTAGCTGTCGTTTCATTCTGACCACCGCCTATCATTTTGTTTTGGCTCAAATCTCCCTTCAAAGTCCTTTCGGCAAAAGGAAAGTAAAGAGAAACTTTATAGTGCAGAAGTTTCAAGAAGTAGACATCACGCAAAACTTTAGCAAATACATGTATACCAATACGGGGTTACTCCAGAACATACGTCTTATAACCCACAGCGTATATCCCTTAGGTTACATTGTTTAACTGTATACAATGTGTCACTGTTTGAAAAACCAATATATCAAGTGACAGGGCCGTAATTAACCCTATCTAGACCGGGCTTTTTGGGGGCTTAGTGGGACGGGGGGGGGCTCATTGGACCCCCCTCAGAACTCGCGAACGTTATGTCGTGAGACCTACTCTCCAAGCAGAGGTTGATGGTGGAAGATCGTTTGCTTTTTATATAAGGCCCATTTATTATGGGTTCACCACACCACGAAGTGGTGTGGTGAAACCATATTGCTTTTTCTGATGTTTCTTCTTCTTCTTCTCCTCCTTCTCCTGCCATTTTTAAATGGATTCAGCTTCTTCATTTTAGGGCCTAAGGTCCTGAAATTTGGTATGGAGGTACAGTGGGCAAATACCCCTAGGCGTTTTTGAAATTATTGTGATACAGGCTTTTAGAATGGTTTTATTTGAGTTTTTTGGCTGTGTTATAGCAAATGTATTACTGTGTTAGTGTGCCTTGTTTAGCACGTTTGGGCATGAGTCATCACAATGGAATGCAGGGCATCAACCAATAGGCATGCAGCTTTCCTCTATACTTCTTGCTGATTGGCTGTTGGGATTTAACTTGATTAACACATGCACAGAGCATTTCCACCTGCACAGAGCATTTCTTGCTGATTGGCTGTTGGGATTTAACTTGATTAACACCTGCACAGAGCATTTCCATACTGACAGTATGTCTGTATTCAAGTGTTTTGGTAGGTATTTCAAGCTTTCCTGCTCCAGCATTGGAATGCCGGGCATGGACGTTTTTTTTTGAAAATCAACAGTTTGCATTATGCAATTAAAAATCCTAACCAATAAAGTAGGGAATAGCTATCCAACTGTTGTTTTAGTTGTATGTTACTTCATATTATAGTTATATCAATGTAAATCATTGTTTTCCCTTGTGTTTCTCATTCTTTCCCTGCCATGTGGTAAAATGTGGTGAACCCATCGCTGTATTTGCTCCAAAGCAAATATTGGCCTTTCTAGTTTTCATAGATTATTGATGAAGTAAAAAGGAAGCAGAAGTGCAGTGATTCAGATAATACATGCAAAATCGTGATTCCAATTGCAAATGTACGAGTAACATTACGATGAGCGCACGTACTGTTTTAAGGCTGTGTTATATTTCAGTAGTTCCCATTATTGGCTCATGCAGTTTTTTAAATCTTTCTTACCTGTTTGTAATGTGCTATTCAGTTACCATTTGTGTGTGTATGGCAAACGACAGAACTGACGTTCTAAGTGTCCATAGAGTTACAACAAGTTGAAGTACGCAATGTCAACGTTCATAATAGCCCTTCCACAAACACAGGTTGGCTAAAGTTCGGGAACAGTCTTAACAGATCGTATTTGAGTCTATGTCGACCCCCGAACATGTGCACACGCCCCGAATATCGCTGACCTACTCCCGAACACCAGCCAACCTCCAGCCAACCATGGCCGAACCACCCCTGGACACACGAATGTTCTAAACATGTTTAACTGTAGCCGACATTAGGCTTGTCGAGCCAACCACAGCCGACCTTGCTCCCTGCATATTTCTAACCATGTTTGGGTACGTTTGGCAGTGTTCGATAGGGTACATTTGTGTGACATGGGGTTATAGACATTGACACCACTGTGCAAACTTAACAGTATGTTCCTTCTCCCCTATCTACAAAACCGCAAAATTTAGCCAAACAACAAATCACACAACCGAACTTAAAGAGGGATCTCGCACTATGAAAGCACTCAATAAATAATCTCCTAGCAGATCCTAGGGTCTCAAGAATAGAGTATAAAATTGGCAAGGCAGTATCCAATTGGCCAGAGAGAGTGGGGTAGCGACAAAAAAGGGCCATACATGTACATAAAAAGCTAACGATCATTCCCCACAACCTCTGCTTGGAGAGTACCCAATATATTCGTCTAACGTAAACTACCAGACCAGACCTAAGTCTACCTCTGAGTACCGTTGTGTTCACATGGGTACATGGCTGACTAAGACAAGTTTCTCCGCAATACGACACTTTGAAACATAAGGAAAGATACTTACTTACTGCGTCGTCTTTGCCATCGGAGTCTGCAGTTTAACAAGCCATCGTTAGGGACCCTAGTATATGTAAATACACTCACCTGTGTCAAATAGAACTCGCACGTAGGACTGAGATGCTTTATCCTACTTTCATGGCCGAATGGCTGCTTAGAACAAACGTACAATATCTGTGGATCGCGTTTCAGAGAGGACTTTTTCTGACTATGAGCTCATGGCAGATACGGTTACTATTTGTTTGTATTGTAGACCGGTCGTGGTGTACTTTTGTGTTGGGTCAACGGGGGTTAAGTTCCTCAAACTGCGCTTAACGACGCCGAAATGTGTGAGTGGAAGTGATCGTTCACATGTAACTATGTAATCGTCTGTATTACGTTTCGACCTGTGTTTAAGTGATTTAAATAGTGGTAAATAAATAATTTTTTTCTTAAGTCTGGCAAGGCATATCGTTACTAGATATATTTATTTGTTATATTAATATATTAGGCCACACCGCCTTAATTTTATGGATGACATCTGCGCGCGCATTGATTTTCCCCTGCTCTCAAAAAAAAAATTACGTCCTCCGAGGCTCTGGCCTGGCTCTAGGCCTGGGTAGTCCATGCTAGTTAGTGACAATACAGAGCCGGTGGTAACTCTGGAGGATGGCACCTAAGTTACCGAAGCTCTACGACCCAAGAACTCAGTACAAACGTACAGTGCCGATTTATACCTTCCACAAAAAGGCAGCATGTGCAGGTTTATCGTATACGTCTATGTGTACTGTCGCAAATTCACAATACCAGCTTGTATTCCTGTGGTTTAGAAGCATTTTATTTTTGGTCGGATTTTTTTTTATTTGCCCGCGCGCACTAGTTCGGGGGTCTTCATGATCAGAGGATGTCATCCATAAAATTAAGACGGTGTGGCCTTACTATATTTTACTATATATTTATGATGATATTGGTCTTCCTGTTGTAGTGCATTTTCCCATCATCTTTTCCACTTCACTCTGTCAAAAAATTTCAACTTCAGTTACGCACCTTTCACCCTGCTTATTGAATTAAAAGCGTTCGGGAGTCGCCGTTCGGCTTTCACCAATCTTTGTGAAATTTTTGCGATTTACTAATGATGAATGATGGGAATTTTATACCTTGTGACGTGTAAATTACTTAAAGGTTAACATCACTATGCATATATCATGTTAATGAAGAAGTCATTTGCATAATTGATGAGGACATGTTGAAATTAAATATTGCCAAAGGATAAGAATTTTTCACGCAAAACATTGTAATTTCACTCCTCTTGGTTCAAGTTGTCTGTTGTCCTTGGGGCCTGCATGGGGGGGGGGGGGTCCCCGACAGCGCTCTACGCTAAATTTTGAGAGCACTGATTACGCTTTACGATAAATTCCAAGTGGCTACAACGCATTACGTAGATATAAAACGGCGAATACGCTCTACGCAAAATACACCAATTACGCTCTTCTTTGAATTACAGCGGTCCGTCTACGCTCTACGTAGAATTGAAACGGCCGATTACGCTCTACGGAAAGGGGCATGTGCCCCCCTCTAATTGTGTACAAAGTCCCACCCATGATAAAGGTGTCTGCTTGACAACCCTGTTTCTTTTAATCAACTTAATATTTGTCTAAATAAACTGAAACTGTCTGTCCTCTCTTCTTCATATGACCTCATGACCCCCAGGACAAGGTCCGGCGGCCAAAACGGTTTCTTCCCAACACGTCGGCAGAACGTACTGCGCTTGCAAGAAACTCATACTAGTAATGTGTGTCCATTATCTCAACCAACAACAAAAGACTATATTTCTGCTTAAGTTTCCCAACTTTTATTTTTCAAAGAGTCGGACAATTCATCTCCCACTGCCTCCTGAGAAGAAGTCAAAGCCCCTAATAGCATGGCAAGAATAGTTTAATAGAATAGAATAATTAGAATAGCAGTTACCTTGTTCCTCTTACCTGTTCACATATTGCATATTTACTTTTTATCCTGTATGCATACCAACGTTATTAGATTTAAGTAGAGATAGTAGGTTTGTTAAGTATATCGTACACGTAGAACTTCATGTTAGCAAATAATCTTTTATCACCACATTTCTTTCTTGTCAATGTCTGTATGCAATTAGCCCTCGGGCATGAATTTGCAATAAACAACATAAAACTTAGGCAGAACGTTTCATATAAGGTCATATTCGCGCATATAAGGTGAACACTCCGTCTGAAGTTTCCAAATGTTCTGTTGAAAAAGATTTTCTCTGCAACAGGCAAAACCTGAAAAATCAGGGTTATGCGCAGGCCCAGTGCATTCTGCCGACGTGCTTTTCCTCCCCCTATATAGTAGCACGTCGGCAGAACGTACTGCACCTGCGCGAAACCCGTAATGTATTGAACATAGCACTTCGACAGAACGTCTCATATAAGGTCGTACTCGCGCATATAAGGTTAACATCCCGTCTGTAGTTTCCAAATGTTCTGTTGAAAAATATTTCCTCTGTAAGGCCATGTTGATTTGACTATATGGATGACATCCTCTGGGAACCCCAAAACTGATGCGCGCGTGCGAATAAAAAAAAGTTTTGCAAAAAAAAAAAGTTGCTTTCACTATGAAATCTACGTGGTCATGAAGGTTGAACAAATGGCACAGAATATGTTATGGCGAATAATCTACTCTTCGAATTCATTTCTTTACATTTTTGTCTTTTTTCCTTGATTTTGGCATTCTACGACATTGGTATCGTTTCTAAATGTTTTCCTTGCAACTTATGGTATATTTGTGCTCATTTAGCAACTGTTTTGCACGATTTACAGTATGGTTGAAAACTTTTTTTTTTGGAAACGGCCAAAAATTCATGCGCGCGCGGATGTCATCCATATAATCAAATCAACATGGCCTAACAGGCAAAACCTGAAAAATCAGTTTTTTTCGCAGGCGCAGTGCATTCTGCCGACGTGCTTTTCTTCCCCCTAATATGGTCATGTTGCCATGGGCACATCAAACCCTGGCCACTGATTGGTTGTGGGTAGTAGTAACCATTAAATCTGTTCACACATATAGCGAGTAGGCCAGTATGTGGATAGACAGGTTTGGGTTTGGTAACACCTTTGACCAGCATTACTGAGCTGCGCGGTGTCGTGAAATTGTGAACCCAGGTGAGAATATTTTCATCAGTAAAACTTGTAGATCTTTACAAAAAGATGCGGCCTGTCTGTTTCAACTTTGTTTACTGTGTAAGTGGGCGATTTGTGAGATTTCACGGTCTAAACATGTTGCAAAGGAGCAAGAATATTAGGCACAAAAAAATGCAAATAAGTTGAAGACAATTTTTTGGAAGAAAGAAAAGTTAGAACAAGTCAAGACCGTGAGTTTTTATGGTCTAAACAATGTTAGCAAAAGAGCAAGAATATTAGGCACACAAAAATGCAAATAAGTTGAAGACACTTTTTTGGAAGAAAGAAAAGTTAGAAAAGTCAAGACAAGATGCATGCAAATTGATTGATATTTAATTTGTACACAGTAAGGGTTATTACCTTCTAGAATGAAATTGAATTCATCTATAGCATGAAATGTAACAAATTCCGTTGAGAAAGCGGAGAGAGGGTTGAACAGCTTTGTGCGTTTATCGTTATATAGTGTACAAACCATAATAAAATGTTGTTCGTCTTCAATATCATTGGGACAGAATGGACAAAACCTCTGGTCGAGGGGGATTTTTTCTTCCTAATTCTATATTCATTGTATGACTTATATAATTATAATGTACGCTAACAAACAAACCCTATAGTGCGGACGCCCGCCCGACAAAACACAGGAATTAGCACTATATAGGGGTTGTTTTCCAGACAGTGGTTGTTTGTTCCCTATTATTGTACCGTTCCCGTATATTATTTGTTAAGATAAGACTGTCTTTTGGTGTAGAATATTATCAACACTTAATTCATGTAATAGAAAATCCTATATTTGCACAACTTTGGGGATTAATCTACAATTTCTTAAGCCATAAGGGCTAACATCATTTGGCGAAGGTATGAGATTGTGGAACTCTAGTTATGTGTTATATTGCCAGCGGGCAAACTTGCTCACTGGCCCATGCATCGCGAATACTGGGAAATCGAAGCCTAATCTCCAAGCAGATGCTGTGGGGCAAGGGGAGTTTTGCATCCAGAAAGTGCTCCTATCCAGGATACGCTCTGAAGCACTTCCTGGATATCCAGGACACGTCGCGAGCCAGAGTACACGTTCTGGATATCCAGGACACGTCGCGAGCCAGAGTGCACGTCCTGGATATCCAGGACACGTCGCGAGCCAGAGTGCACGTCCTGGATATCCAGGAAGTGCTTCAATGGAGCACATACATCCTGGATAAGCAAGGGTGTTTGCTCTATCCAGAAATCGCTTCAGATCTGTTGTTTGCTAGCGACGTTGTGATCATGAATTTTTTTTTATTTTTTATTTTTTATTTACTTCAGAATTCACCTCAAAACAAGGCTCGTGAGAGCCACTTACGTGTTTTGGGTTACAGTGATGACTGCGTGGTCAGATATTTGTTCACCCTTGATTTAAACCGTTGGAGGTTGTAATTAGCGGTGAAACATTCACGGGGAAGCTTGTTCCACAGTGAAGTGGTTCTGGGGAAGAAACTGTCAGCATGAAATTTTCTCTCATGGAGCTCATAGTGACTTGCTCATAGTGACTTGCATTCGCTATATAATGAATGAATGAAATACCTTTATTGTACGTTTGTGCTCTAACAAGTACAGGTCATGAATAGACAAGGAAAAGCATACAGTAATAATACTTAAACTATACATACTAATGTGAACTACTATTTACATTGTTCGACTTCTTCTCGCTTCTTGACGCAGTTATAGATGTACGAGCATATAGAACTAGTGATACATGATTTCATAAGAAATATGAATTTTTCTGATTCATTTAAATGTCCAAAGTTGGGAAACTTATCTATTATATAAGGGTTATTACCTTCTAGAATAAAATTGAATTTATCTATGGCTTGAAATATAACAAATTCAATTGAGCAAGTGGAGAGAAGGTTAAACAGCTTTGTGCGTTTATCGCTATATAGTGGACAACCAATAAATAATGAAATGTTGTTCGTCTTCAATATCATTGGGACAGAATGGACAAAACCTCTGGTCGCGGGTGATTTTTTTATATCTTGGAATTCCTAATTCTATATTCATTGTATGGCTTATATAATTATAATGTACGCTAACAAATAACCCCTATAGTGCGGACTCCCGCCCGACAAAACACAGGAATTAACACTATAGGGGTTGTTTTCCAGACAGTGGTTGTTTGTTCCCTATTATTGTACCGTTCCCGTATATTATTTGTTAAGATAAGACTGTCTTTTGGTGTAGAATATTATCAACACTTAATTCATGTAATAGAAAATCCTATATTTGCACAACTTTGGGGATTAATCTACAATTTCTTAAGTCATAAGGGCTAACATCATTTGGCGAAGGTATGAGATTGTGGAACTCTAGTTATGTGTTATATTGCCAGCGGGCAAACTTGCTCACTGTGCCATGCATCACGAATACTGGGAAATCGAAGCCTAATCTCCAAGCAGATGCTGTGGGGCAAGGGGAGTTTTGCATCCAGAAAGTGCTCCTATCCAGGATACGCTCTGAAGCACTTCCTGGATATCCAGGACACGTCGCGAGCCAGAGTGCACGTCCTGGATATCCAGGACATGTCGCGAGCCAGAGTGCACCTCCTGGATATCCAGGACACGTCGCGAGCCAGAGTGCACGTCCTGGATATCCAGGACATGTCGCGAGCCAGAGTGCACCTCCTGGATATCCAGGACATGTCGCGAGCCAGAGTGCACCTCCTGGATATCCAGGACACGTCGCGAGCCAGAGTGCACGTCCTGGATATCCAGGACACGTCGCGAGCCAGAGTGCAGGTCCTGGATATCCAGGAAGTGCTTCAATGGAACACACCCTAGGTACGAAAGGGTGTTTGCTCTATCCAGAAATCGCTTCAGATCTGTTGTTTGCTAGCGACGTTGTGATCATGAATTTTTTTTTATTTTTTATTTTGTTATTTACTTCAGAATTCACCTCAAAACAAGGCTCGTGAGAGCCACTTACATGTTTTGGGTTACAGTGATGACTGCGTGGTCAGACATTTGTTCACCCTTGATTTAAACCGTTGGAGGTTGTAATTAGCGGTGAAACATTCACGGGGAAGCTTGTTCCACAGTGAAGTGGTTCTTGGGAAGAAACTGTCAGCATGAAATTTTCTCTCATGGAGCTCATAGTGACTTGCTCATAGTGACTTGCATTCGCTATATAATGAATGAATGAAAGACCTTTGTTGTACGTTTGTGCTCTAACAAGTACAGGTCATGAATAGACAAGGAAAAGCATACAGTAATAATACTTAAACTATACATACTAATGTGAACTACTATTTACATTGTTCGACTTCTCGCTTCTTGACGCAGTTATAGATGTACGAGCATATAGAACTAGTGATACATGATTTGTCAAGTTTCATAAGAAATATGAATTTTTCTGATTCATTTAAATGTCCAAAGTTGGGAAACTTATCTATTATATAAGAATATAGGAAATCTCTCTCATTACTATATAACGTAAAATCGACTACGAAATGAAACTATATATATAATGTCCAATAAACATTCTGGGACAGTTACATATGTAACGTGTGCACAGCGAAGTGTCGCTATCTTTGTATACATTTGTTTTTAAGAACGAGCAGCTGAGTTAATTCTACACTAACCCTGCGTGAGAACAAATATGGAAGTGTGGGCGTGAAGAATTCCTGCTAATGGTTCTGTCAATCACCATGATTGACTGCAACACGGGACCAATCAGCGTACATGACGTCACATGACATCTTGGATATCTAGGAGTGTCGCCGATCGCCGACAATGTAGCAGAGCACAGTTTTCGCCCTATGGGGATTTCTATAGTTAAGGACCCCAAGATGACTCACTTCGACGCGGTAAGAATTATAGCAGGGTGCACTTCACTAATACGAGAATCGAATATGTCTCAGAAGAAGGTACAAACTACAAAATATCTAGAAACCAAAAAATCCTGTCGGCGTATCTGCTCGCAACGTACACTTTAAAATCGTCCCCTACGGACGTGACCTGAACTGCAGCCGACTCACCCGGAAAGCCAGTTGCGCAATACGGCGCATTTATACATGAACTGCAAAACCTTCACAATTCAAATCATACAGTCTCAAACTCGATACATTCCTACACCACACAGCGCAATTTACATCTGGCTGACGCTCTTATCAGGCTTTCTACTCAGCCTTCAAGAATATTCGCTGTACTACTTTCTATACCCGCGTCATTTTTTAATACTGTGTTCTGCTACCACAAGGCTGGATAGAGCATGTTCTGGATATACCAGGTAGTCTAAACTGGACTCCTGTAACCATTGGCCGCCACACAACGCTACGCGAGTAATCTTCAAGCAGATGCTTAGGTGGCGCAAAAGACAGTATCAAATTGACCAGGCAGTATCCATTGGCCAGATTTTGCGTTACAGTCTGGCCAATGGATACTGCCTGGCCAATTTGATACTGTCTTTTGCACCACCTAAACATCTGCTTGGCTACGCGAGGCCAATGGATGCATGCGGTCAATATAGGCTCGCTTTCTTCCACAGAATCTGCTTGGTGATTAGAAAAAAAAATATAAGACAAAAATTCGTGTGGTCCAGGTAAAAATGACTAAACAGCAGGCTAGGTGACCTACATTCCGCCTAAATCACTAGTATTATAGACTGCAACAATTAATGTGCCTTTTTGCTATCATCAAAGTTCATCTGTGTTGGTAGTTACATGTTTAAAGTTAAAACTTTTTATCCAACAGAAAGAAATTATCAAAGAAATGTACCTTTTGCACCATATTTTTATCAATTCAATATTTGCTTTTTTTGTCAAGACATATTGGTGTCTGCCTTCCCCCAGCACACTCTTTGTTTGTTTGTTTGTTTGTTTGTTTCGCATAACCGGTAAACCGCCTTTAGGCGTAACACACCAGTTTTGTACATGTGCGTACATGTATACGCTGCGTAAGACCGGACTGTAAGGTTTGAACCACTCACACCGGGAAGGTCCCCTACTCTTTTCGATAAGTGCGCTGTACACCGTGTATGGGTACACCTTACTGCACCCAGTGACTGTACACTCTCGTGTGAAAAGAAGCCAGGGTGGAACACGGCTACATCACCACTGTGGAAACAAAAACACGCCTCAGATTCAGCGCTCGTCTCTTCCGCGCTACCACAACTTCATGTCGCCTCACTCGGACGAACCGACGGCAAGGTTCTACTCCATCTGGCACGACGAACCCATCGTGAGGAAGAGGCCGAACTTCAGGAAGATTGTCGGCTGGAACTCGAGTCCGAAATGGCCGCCTGTCGGGAGGGCCTGCCCGGCATATCCAGACTGCGTTTTCACCAGGAACAAAAATCAGGTTGATGTTTTTTTTATTCATCAAAACATAACAAAGACAATGTGGCGCTGCACTCAAGTTTATAACTTAGGCCACACCAAGTAAATTCTATGGATGACGTCCGCGCGCGCATTGATTTTGGCCTCTTCCTAGAAAAAAAAACAAGAAATTTCGCTTCCTGTAACTATGACCAAAGAGTCACGACAGTGTCGCAAATCGTCAGATTGACGTGAAACCCGCAACGCGAAGAAAGTGTCTATTGACAGGACCACCCTGTCATTAACAGAAAATTTTTCACTGTCCACTGTTCCACCTGATTTATTGCTGTTTTGATGACGAAAAGACTTCTTGTTTGTTACACTGTGTCACCTCATTCAATTTGTGTCCTAACATTTGTCGTCTCTTAGTATATTTCTAATCTAGGCATCTTGTTTTTTAGGGCCCTTCTTGTTTTTTTTTCGCCCTCTCGCATTAGATTTAGGGTCTCCAAAGGACGTCATCTATAAAATTTACTTGGTGTGGCCTTATATTAACAGCCCCAAACAACAAAATACGATTAACATTGAAATACACAAAGTTGACATATCAGTGCGCCGTAGTCCCACCACCCCAAAACAGCCAATGCTAATGCTAACAAAGTTATTTGAAAAAGGAAAACTTCTTGACCTGGAGTGGCTACTAAGGATTAACCTCCTATATCTCATAGGCAGAAACACATCCGCCAAACAGAGCTAGAAGGAGAATTTAGGCCATTAACACATGTAGTATTTGGACTTCTACGTATATCTAATTGACTGTAAAAAGACAGTGAAGCAGAGCTGGAAGCGCTTGGAATCTCCAAGGTTGTTGTTTGATGTTGATGTTTTATGTGAAATCCATTAGATTAGATATCAACATCTAATATATTATTTCTGGATTCATAAAATACAAACAAATTCACAAATACGTAGTTAAAGATTAATATGATAACGTTAACATGACACATTCATGAAAATTTAACTAGCATTCAACTATGTCAGTTAAGGTACAACTACAGAGCATAAAACAGTAACAAATACATAACAACACGCAACAATTAAAGTTGGATTTTTGGAGGACAGATTACAATGATACAGTATTTAGCATCTAACTTGTGCATGTACATTACTACCAATGATTTAAAGGCATCCCATGCAATTTCAGGGTGGCAAAACTGGAAATATTCTGAATAAGGCAATCTGTATAATATTGACACATACCAACATTAGTACGTTTGAATCAGTATTTCATACTAAAGGCATTTTCAGAAAACTGCAGAAACAAGCCCGAAGATAAAGTCCTTTATTTTTGGGAGGCACCCTAAAAATAAACCCAGGTCCTTCCAGTAACCGTTTTTTGGCAGAAGTTGGGGCATTTTTGCTCCATGACTGTCGATGTACATATTGGCACAGTGTTCTTTCAACCTGTATATGTAGATAAGGGACTAGAATATTGACTTTAAAAATTCTGGTTTTGAAGCCCCAAAAACTGCACTGGTTGCCTTTAAGGGTCGGTTTGTATCTGTCTATCTTCTATGCCAACATATCATTAATGATGTTCTTGAATTTAGGTGGCAAACGCGGACGCAGTCATGTTTCGCGGCAACCGCGATTTCCCCTTCGTCTACAACCGGTCGCAGTTCCCGTCAGTACGACACAGGCACCAGTACTGGATCTGGCACCCGTACGAGAGCCCCCACCTGACCAGAGGCATCGACCATGCTTCTTACAGCGGCGTCTTCAACTGGACTTTCACGTACAGGAATGACTCGGACATCCTGGCCGCGTGGGGTCATATCACCCACATTTATCGCGAACTGGCCCAAAACCCGCCCGATCCGAACAGGGATTACTCCGCGGGCAAAACTAAGCTTGTGCTATGGTACGTCAGTAACTGTTACAGCCACCTGGCTCGCTTTTCCTACGCGGCTGAGTTGAGGAAGCACGTCGAAGTGGACATTTTTGGTGGGTGTGCGGAGCGACTTGGCGCCGGGAACAGGAGCTACTGCGGGAGGGATGCCGTAGTGTGCTTCAAAAAACACGCTCGCCCGTACAAGTTCTACCTGGCGTTTGAAAACTACAAGTGCGCCGAGTACATCACGGAAAAATTCTGGGACAATTCCCTGAGAAACGACATGGTCCCGGTCGTGTTGGGTGCGCCGAAAAGCGACTACGAAAGGTTTGCTCCCCCGAACTCCTACATCCACGTGGACGACTTCGGCTCCCCTGAAGAGTTGGCAAACTACCTGAAATATCTCGACCAGAACGACGACGAGTATAACAAGTATTTCGCCTGGAAAACTCGTCCTCCTAAGAACCTTCCGCCATCTTGGGAGGAGAGGTATTGTGAGGTGTGTAAGAAACTTCTCCAAGCGTCTCCGACAGAGAGAAAGGTGTACACAGATCTGGATAGGTGGTGGAGAGGCGAGAAGTACGAGCTCTGTGAACCGATGGTGTACGAAGGACCGAATCCGAACGACCAAGTAGCAACGTAATGATTATCAGTCTCCCAGTGACATTATATGCTTCACTGTATTGAACAATTTCACACTTCCCATAATGCCTAGTAACGGTCGCACGGTCGCATGCATTGCCGAGTAGGAGAGTCTTCGGTAGAAGGTGGAACGATAGAAGGTACGTCATTTTCTCTAATTACAACAAAAATGCAATTATGGCATGTGCTTCATACTAGATAAATAATTCAAAACAATAGTTGACCAGTTTGTTGATAGAATTTGTTGGAAAAATTACATCGAGGAAGGGGGGTGGTCTAACGTCATATCCGTGACCGTTACTAGGCATTATGGGAAGTGTGAAATTGGTCAATAACTTAAATGGCTTAACGCTTCATAGATATTAGTTCTGAGTTGTTAGCCTCTACCAGGCTTTGGGAGGCGACTGGAAAGAGTATAAATTGGTCAAATACAGAAAGATATGATGCTTGTTGGTCCGCTAGAGAGTACCCAGTTTGCCGCACCAATGAGTGTACCCTCCTCTCTCTCTGGCTACTCTTTCCAGCCGCCTTCCGAAGCCTGGTAGAGGTAAAAAAAATGGAAAGAAACGCTGATATACTTAGTTGTATATGGTGAACAGGATCTAGGATAATATATGTAGTACATGTACGTATTTATGATGGGTAAAAGGATGTGTAACATAACGTAGCCTGGTGACCTACAGTGATTTGTCAGATTGCTAAACGAGTTTTAAGCATTTTTTTTACCTCCATGAAAAATGAAGGTATTGTTTTTGGTCTGTGTGTATCTGTGTGTATGTGTGTCTGTGTGTGTGTGTGTGTGTGTGTGTCTGTGTGTGTTTGCGTTTCCGCACATTTGTAGTCAGCATAACTTCAGAACGCCTTCATTGATTGTGATGATATTTAGTATGCTGGTAAGTCTTAGGAAGACAAAGGTCAAGGCCAAATATGGGCCTCCTGGTGGATGACCTTGGTACTGCAATAGAACCGGTTTTGTATCTTTTGCCCTGAATATGCTATGGTCTTGATTTTTTTGGTGACAGATAGCTTATCCTGTCAGGAATAAGTGGTGTGAGTTTGGTCCCCCTAGGAGCTTGTTCTGGAACTGCAGGGACTTGCTGGTGAAATCTTTAAAAGCCAATAAGTCCAGATAGGAACAACATATTTTTATCAGTTTTGGTGTGTAGGTAGTTGAGAGAGAGTTGTACATAATAAAATGCGAATTATGCCAATGAGGACCCATTTTACATAATTAAGGAGGACATTCTATAATATATGTTTATATAATAGTACTTTAATACATGTAATCTATTTAATCTGTGGCAGGCGGAGCATCAACAGATACACGTTATGCAAATGATCTAATTTGCATAATTAATGAGAAAATTCTGTGACCCCTTATTGATGAATAATGGGAATTTTATACCTTGTGACATGTATAAGTTACTTAAAGGTTAACACCACTATGCATATATTATGTTAATGTAGAGGTCATTTGCATGAAGTAGGAGAGGAATTTTACACGAAAAATATTGTCATTTGAATTTAGAAAACCATAAATTAAACTACATTATGCTAATTACGACCTTATTTCCATAGTCAGTGAGACAAATAAAAAAAACATTTACAAAAACTCATATATTTCCTGGTATGAAGTCTCTGAATTCTTGTTTGTACTACTGTTTTCGCTAAGTTTTTCTGATCTTACATATCAAGAGAAATATCAGCGTAAAGGCATAAATATTAACATCGTCTGGCTCGTGAAACTCTAGTTGAAGTTATTATCATAGAATAAAAGGTGCGTAGCTGGGATAAAACCTTTCGGGGACAGGACAAATGAATCATTGGTACCTACAATATACACAATTGGCAATATTGAAACAAAGTTTAACATATAGCAAGAAGGTGACAAAATAACACATTTAAGAAAACAATGGTTTAATTTACGTATATGGATCACAGTCAAAAACGTATGCTACGATCGAGTACTATTGGTTCTCTATTGGTACTATTGATCGAGGACAGCATTGGCCGAGAATGTTTGGCGCTTGAGTCTTTGCCCAAAGCTCTCCTATACAGTGAGCCGCCAGGTTTTTGTCACCATCCAAAATGCCTACAATCCCTCACAACATGTCCGCCTTGACACGCCAGCTACACGTACATCTGAATCGAAGTAAAGTGACCCCTGTAGATACGTCGATGACGGTTAGACATCCAGGTAATAGGATACGCCAAAAACAGTTACCTAAACGTAACATAAAAAAACATCATATAGAAAACCACTAATCCTGTATTGGCCCCCTTGAACTGTAAAGAAGCATATCAAAGAACACAAACCGAAAAAAAGCGTAACTTATGTAACGGACGTAGACTAATCTGTACCTCGGTATACTCTCTAGGAGTCAAGCTAAAAAAAAGCTACGAGCAACTAAGTACAATTTCGGAAACGGTCAGATGTTTCAGGTAGCATCTACTACCTTTTGTCAGTGACAAGAGACCAGAGGGGAAATGCAGATTGATAGGTACGAACTATTGAACCATCTGTTTCCAAAATCAAAATATTATTAATGCAATTGCTTGCGTAGCTTTTTTTTTTTTTTTGGCGTGACTCCTAGAGAGTATACTGAGGTACAGATTGGTCTACGCCCGTTACATAAGTTACGCTTTTTTCGTTTTCTTCCTTTGTTTGTGTTCTTTGAATTTGCTGCTTTAAAGTTCAAGGGGCCAATACAGGATTAATGATTTTCTAGATGTTTTTTTTAATGTTACGTTTAGGCTTTATACATGAATAGAACTTGTATTTTATTCTGAACGCTACATGTGAACATGTAGAATGTCAACATTATATTTTTCGTTTTGAAGGTTAAAACAAACTGCATATCTAAAGTACTGATTGTCTGTTTGAGCTTAGGACCTTTCTTTCTCTAATATTTTGCAATATAACAGATTCTATTGTGAAAAAAAGAAGTGTCAGTAATTTAAAGGAGTACTAACCTCCAGAAGGAAGTGCTATTTTCCGATACATTAAGCTGCATTGAATACATAACTAGTCGACTTTTTACATAATTTCGCTTGTACGAGTTTATTTTATTTTATTTATTTATTCAACTTCACAGAAATAAAATTCTGAGAGGAGCCGGCAACAGGAACATAGAGTTCCTCTACTAGGCCGACTCCTCTAGAAACATAGACACAAAACAAACAAACAACCAAACAAACAATTAAAAAGAGTAATCGAATCAAATCGCTAAACAATTATGACATCGACAGGTAGAGGTCCAGGTGCATAAGTTGTCGGTTGAAAATGTGTCATTTAGGCGAGATCTGTAGAACGAAATTAACAGTTTTTTAACAGACGGCAAGCTTAGATTTGAATACATGTGTTGACGTATGGATAATGGTAACATGTTCCAGATTACAGCGATTCGACTAAAATAGGAATGAGAAAAGGTTTCGGTTTTACATGGTCGCGGTACAAGTAGAAATTGGTCTATTGAGCGGAGAGACCTGGTTGGTATGGATACAGTGAGCACACGAGATATGTTGATACAGTAGAAGTTTCTAAAACATTTAAACAAAAATAAAATGTCAAAAATTTCTCTTCTATAACACAATGGTAAAAGTTCAGTAATCACTAATCTGTCCTTATAACTAACTTCATAATTATTGCAGATATATTTGCTGGCAAGTCTTTGAACACTTTCTAGTTTACGCAGGTGTAACCTTGTATGTGGAGCCCAAACCTGAGAACAGTAGTCTAAATGTGGAATTACAAGTGAACGGTACAGATTTAGTTTAACAGTGAGGGGAGCATTATAACCAACTGATCTCTTGATCATAGCAAGAATTGAGTTACATGTGGATACCTTCTTAAATACATGTGTGTTCCATATAAGGTTGTGTTGTACATGAATGCCTAAGTCGTTATAACAGTCAGATCGGTTTAGTACAGAATCAGCAATGCTATAAGAGTATTGAACTGGTGATAGTTTACGTGTAATGCTAACAACTGTACATTTAGAAGGATGAAATGTCATTTTCCATGCTTCCCCCCAGGCTACAAGGCGATCTAAGTCAGATTGGAATCTAATACAATCAAAAACTGAAGTGATTCTTCTAAAACATTTTGCGTCATCTGCAAACATGGCCATGCGCCCAAACTGAACACAATCAGGTAAGTCGTTAACAAATAACAAAAATAAAAACGGGCCTAATATAGATCCCTGAGGGACCCCTGACACCACCGGTAAGTACTCGGACACGTGACCTTCTACAACAGTTCTCTGGAATCGTCCAGACAGGTAGTCGCCAAATAGTGCAAGAAGTTGGCCGGAAAACCCAAAAGATCTTAATTTATGCACTAACAGTGTATGAGAAACACTGTCGAACGCTTTACAAAAGTCCAAATATATAACGTCGACTTGCCCAGATTTGTCCAGTACTTCACCGATTTCGTCATAAACTTCCAGAAGTTGAGTAGTGGTGGATTTACCTTTCATAAAACCATGTTGAAGGGGGTATAGGGCGTCAGATAATAATGGATAAAGAGAGTTGAAGACACATCTTTCGAATACTTTGCTAGTGATACATAATAAAGAAACTGGTCTGTAATTCGATACGACACTCTTGTCCCCCTTCTTAAACACGGGAGTAACATTAGCCCTTTTCCACATACTTGGAATTTGTGCATTACTTAGACATAGTTTAAAAAGTTTTTCCAATGATGGAGCTAACTGGCTTGCACATCTATTTAAAACAATAGCAGGCAAGTCATCAGGCCCTGTGGCCTTATTAACATTCAGGTTGGACAAAATTGGTTCTATACTCTTGACTGAAAACTGAACAGAGGAAATATCGGGAACTGTGGTGTTTACATTTAAGTCAGGCAACGTGGTTTCTTCATCCGTGTGGTTAAAAACGGAAAAAAGAACTTATTAAACATATCCGCCTTGTCCTGGGGAGACTCAGCACAAACATCTTGAAATTGCAGTTTATTAGGAAGACATTTAGACTTGGTTTTGACACGAAAAAATGACCAAAATCGTTTTGGATTTTCAACAACTACATTACCTAAATCATTAACATACTTTGAATACTTGGTGTTCAGTGTTTTCTTCAAGATGTTTCTGAGACGTCTAAATCTGGCCCAGTGA